AGATCAAATGATAGGCTATTTACAGCTGTGCTCAACCTGTGGGTCGCGACCCCTTTGGGGGAGAAACGACCCTTTCACAGGGTTTGCCCGTTTCATGACAGTTATGAAGTAGCAACGAAAATAATTGTATGGTTGGGGGTCACCACAACATGAGGAACTGTATTAAAGGGTAACGGCATTAGGAAGGTTGAGAACTATTAGGCTATTACATTATAATCTAACTACATCTGCCAAATCTGCTTTACAATGCTCTCTGTATGATAGCAAGGCTATTCACACCCCTCAATGGTAGAGGGGATCCACCTGATACTTAGTCCTGCAAATGGGTTTTGGGCTTCCACTGTCATTCACAGCCTTCTGCAAACCAGGTGTTCGCAATTTAAGATCTGCTATCATTCCCTCCTTTGGATTTGGAGTTTATTATTTATAATCCTTGGATCACACAGGCTGGTGTGCTACTTCCACATGGATTTAGTTGGTGTCTGTTTTAGATGACTGCTTGTTTCAAGACAAACCTTTTAGACTCCAGACACCATTCTTTCTGATTGCCAGGCACCATTGGGCTGCTTTACCACACTTTGCTGTAGCACCCATATCGTCAGTGAGCTCTTCATGAGGTGAGCATTGAGCAGGGCCAGGTCATAAGAATGGAATGCTCTTAGATTGGGGCTAGAATGAGGCTTTCAGTTTTAGGAAGAATCCCTATTCAGGTGACTGCAGGAGAGAAGGAATCTGGCTTGTTAGGGCAGCGATGACACCATTTTGAATCTTCGGTGTTGGCCCCGATGGAGTTAGCAGAGGCTGAAGGCAGTGGACTGTTTCCATGGACACCAGATGCCCCTGGCAAACGAGGGGGGTCTGGACACCTGGACCTGTCCGAGGGTGCTGTGCACCTTCCCAAGGACAAAACCCTGAGTTTCCTGATAAGGCAGTTTGTTATGAGAACCTAGTGCTTAGTCTGCTCCCTCGTTCCTTGTTGCCTTTTGCAAAGTGCATACGTGCTTACTAACCCATGCCTTAGCTAGCTGAGAAAATAAAAGACCGTGCACGGCAGCCGTCTGTGCTACACCCAGCACAGGTGTCAGCCTTTCGCTGGCGTGAAACCACATTTCCCGTGTCCGTGTCTTCATTTCTGCCCTGCACCATCACCGGACGCTACATTTGGCGCCCAAGTGGGGCTTGAGGCACACAACACGTCGGCATCTAGTCGTATAAGCTGTGGGGTGTCCGTTGCAGTCCACCCATGCAGCTCTGGTTGTATCAGAAACACCGGAGAGCGCCTTAAAATTCTTAATTGCTTATCTTCTAAAACGAGTGAGGGGGTGACTGCTGATCTTTACAGACTTGAAACATTTCCTATATTCACAAAAACCGCCGCAGGTAAGAATGACTGCACATTTCTACAGATGAAAACCACAATCCACGACGAAATGGCAACTCACGACACACATATTTACTGAAGGCCAGGCATTGGGAGTAGGGGAGTGCTGGGCAAAACCGGTCCCTGCAACCATGAAAGAGAAGGACACGTCCTCCCTTAAACGTCCCCTTGCCAAAAGACCGGGACCTCAGCTGTCCCGAGGGAAGGGCTTCAGGCTGGGCAGGCCCTGTTTTAAATATAGAACCACTCCACTAAAAATAGCCACTCGTGGTCCAGGCTGCACAGGGGATTGGACCAGGAAGAGGGGAGGGGACCCCAGGCCCCAGTGAAGGAGAGGGAAAGGGCACCACGGCTGGGCTCCGCTGGCTTCTCGCACCCACGCCATGGCGCTTCCTCTGCAGCTCTTGAATCGGGGCTTGGCCACTGCCGCCAAGGGAGGGCACGCAGGAGCCGGAGGTGAGCAGGCCCGGAGGACAGGGCTTCTGGGGTTCCTGACCTTGTGTACCCAACCCCCAGAGCTCCTTGGAGGTGGGGATGGGGGTGGGGGTGGGAAGAGACCCCAGTGTTTCACACGGCTCCCCCTGCACCCAGCCCGCACCTGGCGCCTCCTGTCCTTCATGCTGGCTCTTCCCAGCGTGGCAGTCTGCACCCTCAACAGCTGGCTGCACGCAGGCCACAAGGGGCGCCCCGAGTTCGTCCCCTACCACCACCTTCGGATCCGCACCAAGGTAAGGAGCCGGGGGTCCAGGGGGTGGCAGCGGGGAGTGGGTGTGGGTGTGGAAAGGGGGTGTCAGCCTTGATAACTTGCTCTCCCTCTTCCCACAGCCCTACTGCTGGGGTGACGGCAACCACACCCTCTTCCACAACCCCCACATGAACCCACTCCCCACGGGCTACGAACACCGCTGAGACCCAGCGAGGCCCAGCTCCGCAATAAAGGAATGGACGCTTCGTGTGCTCTCTCTCTGTGGCCTGGGCTGCGGGGCGCATGCGCGGGGCGCAGGCGGGGTGGGCGTGGCTCCACGTGGCGCATGCGCACAGCGTGGTCCTCTGCGGTCTGCGCTGACACGTGGTCCCTGAGGCTGTAGCTACTGCTCCCACAGGAAGGTTACGTGCTGCGCTCTTGACTATGAGGTTGGCACCCCGGGAGAAAGATACGGCTGGCTGGCTGCGTCCATTAGGACTTAGATTCTTAGAAACCCTTCAAAGGGGCCGGCCCCGCAAGTCTGCTGTGGGGTTAGACCCTAAAGGGCCCTGGCATACACAGCATCCTCGCAGTAACTCTGGGAGCGAGACCCAATTTCCCCTTCTCCGGAGGAGGAAGTTGAGAGTCTTCAGCGATGAAAAGACTTGTTCAAATCAGGCAGCTCCTCAGAGGCCCCGCCAGACCCATGTCCGTTGACCTCAAAAGACCACGTTTTGCTGGACACAAACGGCTGGCCTGACGGACGGCATCTGTGAACCTTGACTATTTCCAGAGAACCCTAGTCTCCAGCATCTGCTCTGCCCCCATCTGGGAGCCCTGACAACGAAGTATGGATTTGGAATGTTCTGGTCACTCTGATCAGGGTGGGAAATCAGCTGCCCCTTTCTGGAAATCGACCCTCTTGGCTTCTGGGAACCTCTTCGAGGGATAGATTGGCTTAAACAACCTCTGGTCAGTCTACTCACCTCCTAGGGCAGCCTAAGAGCCCTGGTAGGGGAGTGGTTAGGAGTTGGGCTTCAAGGACCGCTAGTCGGAACTCCCAGCCCCTTCCCTCCGCGGGAGAATCCCGAAAACAGTTACAGTCTCAGGAACCCACCTGATAGTTCTGCCCTGTCCTACAGGGTCACGATGATGCAGTGGCAAATGAGAAGGAGAGGGCCCCTGAACACTTCACCAAAGAGCCTACAACCAGTGCCTAAACCCATCACCAACACACATATACAGAGCTTTGGCTTCCTCCCCCAAACACTAGCCACTCACAAACTCACTGTCATCGAGTCATACCGACGCGGTGACCCTGTAGGACAGGGTAGAACTGCCCAGTCACAGCACCATTCACAATGAGATGCCACAGGCATCCATCACCTGAGAAAACACAAGGACTTCTTTCTGTAGCCACACACAGGTGCCCCCAACTACCCCCAGAACAACACTGCAGCCCCTTGATCAAAGCTCCTCTGTACAAGGACAAGCGCTACCGTGTTCTCTTTCAATGCAACCATTCTCTACATGCGGAATCTAAGAGAGTCGTTCCTGAGGAAGTTGGAGAGATGCGTGAAAATACCAAGATCTTTCAATTCGTTGGGAAGGTGACCTGGCACCTGATAGGTTAATGAGGCCTGCCCATAACACTGCAAAAATTGTCCCTGAAGGGTAAGAGGAAGGTGGGGGAGAAAGGGGGAGCCGATCACAACGATCTACCTGTAACCCCCTCCCTGGGGGACGGACAACAGGAAAGTGGGTGAAGGGAGACATGGTTCAGTGTAAGACATGAAAAAAAATTTTTTTTAATTATCAAAGGTTCGTAAGGGAAGGAAGGTTGGGGAGGGAGGGGGAAAATGAGGAGCTGATCCCAAGGGCTCAAGTAGAAAGAAAATGTTTTGAGAATGATGAGGGCAACAAATGTACAAATGTGCTTGATTCAATGGGTGGATGGATTGTGATAAGATAAGAGCTATATGATCCCCCAATAAAATGATTTTTTTTTTAAAAAAAGAAGAAAGTTTTCCCTGGGAAAGTAGACTTGTCGGTGAGGCAAGACCAGCCACTTGGGGTAGAGATAAAGAGGAAAGTGGGTCCTTAAGACAGAGACGGATGCGGGACCTCCCGGCTGAGATGCTGCCCTCTAACTGCCGTGGTGCCTTCAGCTTTGTCATTCAGCATCTCTTTGTACTGACGTCTGAAGAAGCCGAGCTACAGGGGAAGCAAATCAGAAAACCAGGTGAGGGCAAGGGGAGAAAGTTGGAAATGGGAAGAAGCTAAGTGAGGGGGGTCGGGGGATTGGGAAGAGAAGCGAGCTCAGCTAACCACGCATTTGTGTGCTGGACATTGGTTTCTGTGAACAACAGCTCGTTCACATCACCCAGTAAGGAGCCCTGGTGACATGGTGGTTCCCTGTTGGGCTGCTAACCTCAAGGTAAGTGGTTTGAAACCACCAGCCGCTCCGCTCCTCGGGAGAAAGATAAGGCTTTCTACTCCCATAAAGGAGTACCATCTCAGAAACCCACACGGGGCAATTCTACTCTTCCCTCTAGGGTCTCTATGAGCTGGCATCGACTCGATGGCAGTGAGCTTATTTTTTGTTTGGTTTTGGTTTTTTGAGGGCCAAGCACAGTACTAGATAGGTTGTAACTAGAGTCTGCAGCAGAAAAGAGGAGACTCCGGGGGTCAGGCAGGTGTGTCCACATGCTCTGGCCTCATTTCTCACTCGCTTTGTCCACTCTGTGATCTAGGCATTCTTGTAATTTCAACAGTAAGGGAAGAGGCTCAGAAAGGCGGAGCCAACTGCCTAACATTACACAGTGAGTTCACTGGTAGATAGCGCTAAAACACACACGTGTCCTGGCCTCCTTGACTCCAGAGTCTGGGGTCTTCCCACTCTACTGTCCTCGCTGCGGGAGGACTGAGGTTGGATGCCAGAGGTATCAAGAAACAAAACAAAATAAAACAGACGATCTCACTGCTGTTGAATCGATTCAGACTCATGGTGACCCACAGGGCAGGGCAGGACTGCCCCTGTGGGTTTCTGAGACTGTAATTCTTCACAGGAGTAGAAAGCCTCACTTTTGTCCCTCGCAGCAACTGGTGGTTTTGAACGGCTGACTTTGTGGTTAGCAGCCCAGTGCATCACTACGCCACCAGGGGTCCTAGCGGGATGAGAATACCTTGTACAGTGTAGCTATGATGAGAGCCAGCAGCAGAATTCCTCCCACGGAGCTGCCCATGAGGAGGGGGATCGGGTTGTAGTCTTTGTTCTCTTCCAGCGTAGTCTCCATCTGATGTGGGAGTGGCTTCATCAGAGAGCATCAGGCTGCTCGCTGCCCCACACTCGCTCCAGGTTGCCCACTCATCGTTCCCTGCCCCTTCCTTCCCTGCTCCCGATGCAGAAGCACCTTAGGGCTTAGGGACAACTCTCCCACTCAGGGACCTTCACCTCTCTTCCCTCCAGGTCTGCAGTCCTCCCATCTAATGTCATAGATTTAGCATCAAGAGTCTTTCCACCAGCCTGGCCACTGCATACCACATCATCACTACCTGGGCTCTGAGAAATGCCTCCTGTCTAGGTAGCTGGGAATATATCGATCTGTTGAAGGTAATTTCAGCCACACTCACGACGGACACCTTCTTCTTCTGCAGCATCTGCGAAGGAGGGGGAGAAGCTGGCGAATGCGCTCTGGGGGAGGGCCCAGCGTTCAAGAAACGTGCTAGGCTCCAGGGTTTGGGTACGGATGCCTTAGCTTTCACCTGAGTCCGGGGGAGGGGCTTCTGCTGTCGGACCCTACACACCTGACGGACCCAGCCGAAGCTGAGGTTGCCTTTGAGGACGAAGTCAAACTCATGCTGGATGTCAAAGGAGGGGACGTCACATTGGAACCTCAGGCAGACAGCAATGGAGCAGTCCTAGGGACAAAACAGGAATGACGTTGAGGAGGTAAGGAACCTCAAGAGAAAATGGGGTTTGTCAGATTTGGGGGAGTGGGAACAGATGAACAATGGCAGGAGATTTTATATATATATATATATTTATATTAGCTATATATGTGTGTGTGTGTGTGTATATATATATATTCTCTGGAGTCTAGGGGACATCTCCCTATACCCCCGAGATGTACAACTGACCCTTCTGTGAGGGTTTAAGACCATCCTCACCAGCGTGGAGCTCTTTGGAATCTTGACCAGGAAGTCAGAATGCTGCGGAGGTTCTCTCTCTGACACACAGGGGAGACTCTAAAGAGAGAAACATTTGAAGCCACGGAATCAAACAAACAAACAAACAAACAAACACATTTCCATGGCAAGAGGGTGTGAAGCATTGTGAGCTCAGACCCTAAGAGGGAGGGAGGGAGGAGGGCAGGGAGGGAGGGAGGGAAGACAGACACCTGCGAAGGGGCCGTCATGACCACATCCCAGACAGCCACGCCATTCAGCAGGATGGGCACCCAGAAACGAATGCTGACAGCCACCTTGCGCTGGCTCAGGTTATTCACCTGTGGAAAATTGAGACCGAACATCACCACGGTCCCTGGAGCAACCCATAGCCCGTGTTTTTCTTGACCCCGCCTCCTGGCTCATCTGTAGTCTTCCACTACCAACTTCCAAACCGATCAGCACCACGGGAAGACAGGGGATGGTCTCCCAGGCGCTCACGTGATATCCGTGCTTGGCTTCTTTCTTGACCTTCCCATCTGATGTGGAAAAGTTCAAGTACTTGGTGGATTCTTCAAGCCTGGAGAGAGAGGGCCCAAGGGGAAAACCAGTCCTGGGACCGCCCTCCGGGTCTGCCCCCTCCTGCTGTGAGCGTGGTTAGTCCCAGCCGACAATCCAGGGAAATGCTGACAGCTCACACATGCCTCTCCAGCCTCAGCTCGCCACCTGGTGTCATGTGACCTGGTGCCACTGGGACCCTGGAGCTCTTCTTGGGTGGCCCGGGGATCTTTCATGAATTTGCTCTTTCTTCTGCTTGGAATGTGCTTACCCAGCACCCCTCTACACCTTTTCACTTCCAGGTCTGCCCCACACACTATCTCCCATCATGGTGAAACGTTTATGGCAAGGGCTCTGACGTTGTTTTTCTAGCAGGCCCAGGGTTGGCCTCAGGCCCTGCTTACTGAGGCTGCTGCCAGAACCAATAGGGGTGAGGGAACCCCAGAGGTTGATGGCCAGGGCAAAAAATGCAGTGAGAGCCCCTCCAGTGTGGGAATGACAATACTGTCTCTCTGACATGACCATCCTGGGGCAGGTAAGTGAGTTCATCTGAAGGAATATGGTGCATGAACAAAAGTCCATGACATGGGCATAAAAAATGTTCCAGGCTTCAGATGGGTCCATCATCCATCCATCTGTCTGTCCATCCCTCCCTTCCTCCCTCCCTCCCTCCATCCATCCATCCAATCATCCATCTATGCCTTCATCCCCTCCATCCATTCAAGAAAAATTTGCCACATGGTCCTGTGGTTGGCCCACTTTTCTTGCCCTCCCAGTGGAATCAAGCAGACAAGCAGTGGGAGTTGCGTGTTTTGCCAGCACTTAACACAGAGCGACTCACTACCATCAAGTCGTGTCCAACTCAGTGACCTTCTAGGACGGCGAGATTTTGTCTCACATGCTTTGGACATGTTGTCAAGAGAGACCAGTCCCCGGAGAAGGACATCAAACTCAGTAACGTCGCGGGGCAGCGGAAAAAGAGGAAGGCCTCACGAGATGGGTAGACATCGTGGCTGCATCCAGGGCTCAAAGGTAACAATGATGAGGGTGGCACAGAAATTCTAAGGCCCCAACAATTTCCACACCCGTGTGGCTGTCATCCTGGTGACATAGGCTCTGAAGCCAGACCACTAGGGCCCAGACCTCACGCCCACCACTTCCTATCTGAGTAACTCGAGGTAAGCTTGCTCGGTAGAAGGACAGGGCTATTAGTAGACCCTACCTTTAATAGTTGTGATGAGGCTACATAAGTACTGAACACACAGAAAATACTGGTTTATCTCTCAGCCCACCCCAGCCCGCCCCTGGACATTGCTAGCCCTTTCCTCTGTGTTTCCGTATTCTCACCTGAACATCATGTTGTTCTAACCCTCTTTTCACCCGGCTCTCCCTGGTGCCCGGAGGCAGGAAGAGCAAGGGCTCTCCATGGTCAGCTGCCTGGGTTTGGTTCCTGGTTCTACCACGTGCAGTTGGATTACAGAGACAGTTAGGAAACCTCTCGGTTTCTTCATGCGGACTAAAAGTAACTATGTCATAGGTGGGACCAGTAAAGAGATGAGTAAATGGCTCCAAGCACTACCTGACCCACCACACGCAGCGTGTTTGTAAACACCTCTGATTCTGCAAAATGAATAGGAACTTATGAATGCACCTAGGTGGGGCCAGGCCTTGTGTTAAGTAACTGACATGTGTTCACTGATGATAAGTTTTAGTGTTGTACCTGTGTCAAGGAGGGATCCCCTGCATGGGAAAGAGGACGCTGCTTGAGTCTCCCTCTGGTTCATTGAGTCTCCCTCTAGTTCATTGAGTTTTCTCTCTAGTTCATTGAGTCTCCCTCTAGTTCATTGAGTTTTCTCTCTAGTTCATTGAGTCTCCCTCTAGTTCATTGAGTTTCCCTCTAGTTCATTGAGTTTCCCTCTAGTTCATTGAGTTTCCCTCTAGTTCATTGAGTTTCCCTCTAGTTCATTGAATTTCCCTCTAGTTCATTGAGTTTCCCTCTAGTTCATTGAGTTTCCCTCTAGTTCATTGAGTTTTCCCTCTAGTTCATTGAGTTTTCTCTCTAGTTCATTGAGTTTC